TTTTTTCGTCCGGCCGACGAAACCGGACGGTACCGGGCGTGTCCGGCCAGCCGAACCGAACGACCTTTACGGCGTCCGGCCGGGTCGGCCGGACATGAAGGAGGACGGACGGTTTGAGGGGCCGTACGAACCGGTCTCTGTCCGGTTAGACCGACCGTACGGCCCATGTGGTGTCCGGCGGCGACGGCCGGACGTAGCCAGTCCGTCCGGTCTGACCGGCCGAACACCTCTACTTTTTTTTTTTAAATAAATATTATTAGAATTTATTTTGTTATAGAAATTATTATTGTTGTATAAATTCGATATAATTATGTTATAAATTGGACGTGTTAGATATTATTGCTTTAGGATTAGAAATTATTATGTTATCGAGTCGAAATAATTATGTTGTAAATTGGACGTTAAATATTATTGCTTTAGGGATTAGAAATTATTATGTTATCGAGTCGAAATAATTATGTTATAAATTGGATGTTAGATATTATCGCTTTAGGAATTAGAAATTATTATATTATCGAATCGAAATAATTATGTTGTAAATTGGACGTTAGATATTATCTTGTTAGGAGTTAGAAATTAATTATATTTGTGTATCTATAAATTGAATGTTAGATATTATCGCGTTAGGAAATAGAAATTATTATGTTGTACCATTGAAATAATTATGTTATAAATTGGACTTTAGGAGTTCGACATAATAATGTTATAAATTGAACATTAGATATTATCGCTTTAGGAGTTAGAAACCGAATCTGACAGTTTTGGCTCTGTCAAACTCACGACTCGCGAGTTTAGCATAGGAAAATACCCAAATCTGGCGAATGGCGAGATCAATTCGGGAGTCGCGAGTGTATTCGCGACTCGCGAGATGAAATCGCGAGTCGCGATTCTCTCGCGACTCGCGAGATGAAGTCGCGCAACACGATTTTTGTATATTTTTGCTCTGTCAAACTCAAAGTCGCGAGTCGCGACATTTTCTCGCGACTCGCGAATTTCCGCTGGCGATTCGCGAGTTGGACAGAGGCATAAGTGCCAGAATCTCGCGACTCGCGACCTCGTCTCGCGAGTCGCGAGAGTACTCGTGGCTTAACTCGTGACTCGCGACATGATGTCGCGAGTCGCGAATGTCCTCGCGACTCGCGACTTTCGGCTCGCGAGTCGCGAATGCCTTCGCGACTCGCGACATTCGGCTCGCGAGTCGCGAATTTTGGCTGTTTCGGCTCTTTTAAACTCGCGAGTCGCATTAGGAGTAATTGAACGTTAGATATTATCGTGTTAGGAGTTATAAATTATTATGTTATATAGATTATAATTTCACATGTTTGAAATATTGTAATATATTGCAGGTGTCATTGGAAGATTTTGGAGGAGATGGTATTGATTACAGTTCCGCTTTCAATACAACTACATTTTTTGTTAGTGATGAGGCTGCGATTGATGATGCAAAAAGTACGGCAATTCTGAATGGTTTCACTTTGACTATTTCGAAACACACAAAAGGAGGAAGGTTGAAAATCTTGAAGTGCAAACGAGGCGAACGTTATAGAGGCAAGAAGAAGGTAGATGTTGCTTCTAGAAAATCGAAAACCAACAAGTGCCAGTGCCTTTTTGAGATAAGAGTAAAGCGGGTGCCCGGAACGCAATTCTGGATGATCCACAAGTGTCTAAACGAAGAGAAGGGCTTCCACAATCATTCATTTGCTGTGTATCCCGAGGGCCATCGACAGTCGAGCGGCATCAGCCAGTCATCAAAGAAGATTATTCGTGATATGACTGCTGCGCATGTGACACTAGCAAATATTTTGGCCGCTGTCCAGGAAAAAAATTCCAGGAGATCACGCGACTGTGCGACAAATATATAACTATAAAGACATGTTGCGGAAGGAGAGTTTTGAGGGTAGAGACGTTACTACCCGGCTTCTACATTTGGCTAGGAGCAGCAACTATATAGTTTATACAGATTTCCATCCGGACACAAATGCCTTGACACACATATTCATGGCAC